GTGCCGCTTGATGCACAGCTCCCCCCCCCCCTCGCCAGGAGAGGGAAGGGGAGCCCCAGACCCACCGCATCGGCGATCCAACTACTAGTTCTTAGGTTGGATGTCAAAAACACTAAAACTACCAACAGGGGGGATGGGAGGGGGGTTATCAGAGAGCCTCCGGGACTCACTGAGCCTCATTTCGTTACATTCAATGTTGGTTTTCTGGGGAGAGCCCCTCCAGCTCCCCAGAGCTACTTCACCAAAGACAAAAATGAGAGGGACTTACCCAGGAGGCGGTCGGTGCTCGCATTTCAACTCTTAAGTCAAGACAACCGGCTGTAACCACCGACCCAAAGTGACACAGGCCCGACTAGGCCCCAGGAACATTTACGAGGTAGCGTGCAACCAGGACCCTGATTGACCGCCAAAATCCCCGTGCCCAAGACATGTTACCAAAAATAACAGCAAGTTCAACAAACTTACAAACGTCATGGGGACACGGATAGACCGCAGGCTGGCTGGACCGAATAACCCTGCGGAGAGCCTGAGAGCCCTGAACCCGGGAACAGGGAAGAAGGAAAACCGGATCAGCCCAAAGCGTGTCTCCGGCTACCGAGGACGTGGCGCGCAAATAACGACAGAGCACCGCAACTGGACCCAACACATAATGAACCCCTGGCCTGACCAACAAAGCATCAACAACCCAGGAGCCCCTCTGGAAAGCAGCCATCTCATTCTTCGCCAGAAAAGAATCAGACGGCTGCAAATGAACAAACCTATCACCACGACCAAAAGAACAAAAACCCCTGCGCCGGAGGAGAGCATGAAGCTCTCTGACCTGACCCCCATAGACCAATGCCAACAAGAAAAGAGTCATAGAAAAACAATTCTGAACCGAAGGAGCCACAACAAAACGAGGAGAAGACAAATACGAGAGCATCCTGTCGAAGGACCAGGACTGCTCAGGTGGCGCATGAGCAGGTCAGAGGTGAAACAACACCCAAGACAGCTTGCGAAACGGTGCAGAAGTAACATCTATTCTGAAAGCAAGCTGTAGCAGCTCCGCCAGCGCCGTACGATATGAGGCGACAGTATTCGGCATAAGACGACGGTCCTGAAACAGCCACAAGAGGAAGAACAAAACAACCGCAACCAAAAGCGAAGTACAACGACGGAGAGACAAAAAGAACCGGAAGAACTGCCAGGAAACTTCATATTGCCGCCGAGACAAAGCCCACAGGTGGGACACCATCAAAGAAGCAACCTGATCACCATAGAGATGGTGATAGACTCGAGTCAAAAACTCCAGACGCGAAGACTTGAGGAGAAGACCGAACCAGTCTCATTACGAACAGAGCCGATCTGCTGAAAGAGGCGGAGCAACGAGGAAAACTTCCGGGTTTGGACACCGAGTAAGCAGGGCCTGAAACCAAGGCTGGGCCGGCCACGACAGAGCCAGAAGGACTACACTTCCCTGGTAAATCTCCAAGCAAGCCAGGACCTGGAGCAATAGCAGAACTGTGGGGGGGGGGGGGAAAGAGTTACAGGAAGCCCCACCTCGATCAGTCCAGCCGAAAGGCATCGACCTTGACAGCCTCACAGTCGGGGACTGTGCATGAAACCTATCATGCAGCGCCTGAGCTGCCTGCACCCAAATATCCTCATCATCAGATTGGGTGAATTAAGTCACCAACAAGCAACAGTGCTCATAGGACTCAGGGTCGAAGGTGTCACCGACCTAACAGGCAGCATGAGGGAAGGAAAAACAATGAGCGTCGCCCTCAGACAAGGGGACAGAGCAACCCTCAAACTCGCACAAGGCAAGAGGAGACCCAGGGGTCGCATTCATTGGACCCGTGCACCACCATGGGAATTCCCAGGGTCCCCTAGACTGGTATCGCTAAGGGTAAGCCCAGGCAGAGCACTGCTAACCAGCGCCCAAGTCTACCAAACAAAGTGCTAAAGCTGAACCTCCGGAACGTATCCATTAATAGGGGCGAAGCAGGGGGTACCATTGAACACAGGAGGTCAACACCCTAGCTAAATAGGAGCAAGGGACATAAGGCAGACTCCCCCTACCAGGCCAAAACTAAAAGTAAAAGAAAAACCCCGCAAGAGGACAACATACCCAGGAGGAACAGAGCTGGCCTCTGTAATAGGTGAAAACTAGCTGTGCAGTACCCTGTCCCCCCCAGTGCAAAAACTACCATTTACCCCAAGGTAGACAAGGGAGGAAAACATCCCAACACTCGGGGCGGTCAATCACCAAGCAGCAAAAGACCCCAGAGGTAGACCCCAAGGCGACTTGTGGAAGATAACTCCAAGTCCCAAGGGTGGTACTTACAGGGCACTCAGGGCAGGGAAGGTGACCCTAAGCACATGCAGCTCGAGTACCTGTGAATATTACGCACAGCTCGCACGCCACCGTAAGAGCAGTATTGAACACTAGGCACAGCACAACAAGAGAATCTAGAACTGGAGCCAGCAGACCGTGCCACAAGCACATCAGCCTAAGAACTAGTGGTTGGATCGCCGGTGCAGGGGGTCTGGCGCTCCCCCTTTCCCCTCCCAGGAAAGGGGGGGGGGGAAGCTGCGCAGACAAGCGGCATGGCTCGTGTGACGTCATGCTTGATTGCTAGTTTTCATTTGGGGAGTTCTGTCCACTCGTTTTGGCTATATTTGTTGTTTTACCAGAATAGGGGTTTGTTTTGGAGCACTTACCTTCCTGGGTGCCTGTCCCGGTTGATGGCAGATGCAGAATGCTCCAAATCACATGTGCACTTCTATAGGCCATTGCTCTTCATGCCTTTCTGAGAGGGCCAGGTTCTGGCCGGGGTCTCCGGTAGGCCTAGACCTCCAGTCACACTGACTGATGTTTAAGTCTAGGGATATACATATCAGCCTGGATAGCTCCAGGGAGCCAAAGGGGCTCCCCCCAGAATTTTTTTTTTCTTGGATCTAGATTAACTCCATTACATCTACATAGATGTATTATAACCATACATTATTTACATCATTTGTATGAACCCCAATTTAAGAGTTAAAAGCACACCTTATAAAAATTTGCTTAAAAGCATTCTCAGAAAACATAGAGGAAGAAGCACTTAGCAAGAATGGTAAGAAAAAAATGAGTAGCTGTGGTTGGGATAAGTCAGATCTGAATCCAGAGGCATAGGCTAAGCAAGTACTGCACAGCATTGAAGAATACCTTAGAACAGGTAAGAAAGAAGAGGTCAAAATGCAGTCAGAAGCTGGTGAGGGAAAAGGCAGAGGCATGCCATTCAGAGGAATGGCATTCCTCAAGCTCGGAAACATTAGTGGGCTCAGATATGGTAGCATCGCCATACGTCAAACCAAGGACATTAGATTCCAGGGTAGCAACATGCGGAAAAGCAACAACAGAGATCAAGATCATTTTTCTAGGGAAAAAGTGGAGGTGAAAGCATCCAGTTTAGGTTTATAGCAAGATGACTGAAGTATGTTGAAGAGAGAGATGGTGGAAGCTATGTATTATGTGAAATCAGTAATTGTTTCAGCTGGAGATGACTGGTAGATCCAGCTGGGATGCAGAGGCATGATAACAATCATGGTGACTGGAATGAACAAGAGGCAGATAAGAGCACCAGATGGGGTTTGTAAGGGCATCCAAAGTATCCAAAGATAAGGTTGCAGAAAATGGGACCAAGCACAAAAAGGCAGACAGGGAACGGTTACGAGTAAGGTACACAGACCTAGGGAAAGGGGTCAGGAGGGACATGGTTTCTGAGTGTGATGGGACACAAGGAGCAGTCGTACAGGTATAACTAACAATAACCTGTAAACAATCTGTTCCAGAGCTGGGGACCAGAAGGACAGCAGGCCTGAGAGTCAGAACGGTCAGAGCATGCAAAGCATCACATCTTGGAAGAGATCCAGGTACCACAGTTGTCCTTTGAGAAGGGAATGATGTTATTATGCTTGAGGGAGAGGATGCAGTGTTTCCATCTTGCAGTGTACACAGGTCCAGAAAAACACACGATGGGTTTCACTACAATTAATGCATCGATCAAGGAGAGATTTGCAAGAATCCATCACATGTCCATAATTGCCACACAAGGGTCAAAGGAAGACCTCGATATGACAAGTGGCAGAGCCATAGCAAATCTTTCAGCACTGATTGCACTGGTGGGGAGAGGGGATATATTCTTGCATTGAACATTTGATACCATGATGTATAACAAATGTGGGGAGGGAGCGAGGGTCAAAAGTTACTTTTGGTATCTGGACAGACTGTGCATGTTTATCACAGGGATGAAGAGTGAATATGTCCATCTGGAGTACCAAGTGTCCCTTGGCCTCTAAAATATCTTGGATATCCTCATGGCAGTTTCTGAGATCACTGCCATTAATAGCAATGTGAGACTGGGAAAAAATAGTCCCCAGCGCTGAGGACCCCAGTAACCTGATCAACCAGGCTGTGGCTCATACGTCAGGCTGCGAGCAGCCGCGTCTAACAGCCTGGTTGATCAGTCCAGCAACCAGGAGGCCTGGTCGACGACTGGGCCGCGGGGACACTAAGCCCCGGAAGCACCTCAAAGTAACCTCAAGGTAAGGTAAGCGCTAGCACTTTAATGGACATACTTCGTAATTCAAGCTGGGACTTCAAGAACATTGAGGAGAGCAAACTGTGTTTGAGAGACAATCAGTGAAGAACAAGCACTGGCAAACAATGACTACATTGGTAGTGCAGTCAATGCCACTATTACGAAGGCAGCAGTAGCAGGGCGATGACCTACACATAACCAGAACACAGCACTATTTTACCTCCCAATGTGGTGCATGACCTCACATGCAATTTTCCAAGCAGTCACTTTTGTGGCTTAAATTTTAGTATTTTAAAGATAATAGAGTAAGGCATGCTTAAGATATTAAATGGTAAAGTTGAGAAAGTAAAATGAAGAAATAAACATGACAAAACCATTAGGTATTTCTACCACTGATACCAAATAATAAACAGTTGTAGCTTTTAGAATCATTACCTCTAGTATGTGTTTTTTTTCCATGAGCATTCTGGCTACAGTTGACACAAGATCATCTTTGATTGTCTTCTCAAGCTGCGTACAATTACGCACAGCTTGCACAGCATCCCGAGCTTTAAAATTTTCTGTCCAGAGAATATGGTTCCCTGCTTTGTGTGTGTTAATTCCAAGGTTCTCACAACTACCATCACGTGTCTGACTCTCTATACTTTTAGTGCTTCTTTTTCTAATAAACTGGTCAATCTTTTGGTTCATCTGAGGGGTCTCCAGTGCACTGTATGTTCTCTCCTGTCCAATCAGACAAACTCTTTTGGTCGAAGGAATTCTCAGCTTGTCTTGCCATACTTCAAAGCCACAAACACTGCCCACTTCTTTGACATATTCAAGATAGTCTGAGTACTGGCTTCTACCTGTATACTTTCTTCGGTACTTGCAGTCAAAGTCGTGGGCACAACATGGAATTACAAAGAAACGAGTTGTATATTTGGATTTAGCAGCAATGACAGGAATCCATGGAGTTAATTCATCTGAATGGTTACCAATCAGCCAGTCATATGCAGGAAAAAGGTTCTTATCAGATGGTTCAATGGCTTCTTCCTAGAATAAGTAAAAAAATCAGCGTTGAATGTAATGAAACGCCGTTTTCTGGGTGTGAGCCGGAGGCTGCTCTAGGCTGATATGCTAATGTCAGACTTTGGCATCAGTCATGTGTATGGAGTTCTGTGGGCCTACCGGGGACCACGAGCCAGAACCTGGCCCCCTCAGCAACCCGTTCTCGCACTTTCGTATAGTCAATATTGACTTATTAAATACGTGCATATGTGACATACTAAACATACTAGTTTACCTTGAAAAGCTTCATAGAAAACACCGACCTTACCTAACCTTCTTAGTATGTTAGGGTATACCTATTATAGGTATAGGTTAAGTAATAATTGTAATTACGAAGCAATAAGATGCTTATCCTAACATACTAAGAAGGTTAGGTAAGGTCGGTGTTTTCTATGAAGCTTTTCAAGGTAAACTAGTATGTTTAGTATGTCACATATGCATGTATTAAGTAAGTCAATATTGACTAAGAAAGTGCGGGAACGGGTTGCCCTCAGAGAGGCAAAGGGAGCAATAGTCTATAGAAACCCACGTGTGGTTGGAAGCATTCTATGCCTGCCATCAACTGGGTCTAGCACCCAGTAAGCATCCCAAAACAAACCCCTATTCTGGTGAAAATATTGCTACAAACACCGAAGAAATGGATAGAACTCCCCTAAAAATAAACGAGCAAACGAACATGACGTCACACGTCGCCACGCCGCTGTCTGCGCAGCTCCCCCCTCCCGGGGAGGGGGGAGGGGAAGCCTCAGACCCCCCACGCCGGCTATCCACCCATCAGTTTTGAGGGTGGATGTCAAAACACACGAAAAAACGCCGACCAGAGGGAGGGAGGGAGGGATGCTGGGGAGCCTCCGGGTCACACCCAGAAAATGGCGTTTCATCATATTCAATGCTGGTTTCCTGGGGGGAGCCCCGTCAGCCCCTCAGAGCTAACTACCCGAAGAGGAAAACAAGAGGGACTTACCCGGGAGGCGGTCGCTGCTCACTCCTCAACTCGAAGTCGAGACAACTGGCTGCAACTGCCATCCCAAAGCGACACAGGCCCGATTGGGCACCGAAACGTTCACAAGTTAATGAGCAGAAAGGACCCTGTTCGACCGCCAAAAGCCCCGTGCCCGAATGTCAGCCCAGGACATGTTGCCAAAGATGGTAGCAAGAGCAGCGAACTTACGAACGTCATGGGCACAGGGATAGACCGCAGGCGAGTCATCCGAAGCGACCAGCGCCAAAGAGCCAAGGACCACATCGAACCTCTCCTGGTTCGGGCAATGAACCACCGGAGAGCAGTCCGAATGGAGCCAGATCTTCGATTCGAGGGCGACCCGAACCCTCCGCAGCACAAACTACACCACTGCGAACTCCCGCACCGTGCTGTGGGCCCGACAGAAGGACGGACCCCATTGCCCCTGGCCGGCCTGGTGAGCACTAGTCACAAAGCCCCAGCCGAGAGACGACGCATCCGTGAACACACAGGGCGAGGGCTCGGGCAGGCGCCAAGGCACTGAACCCCGAAAAACCCGAAGAGGAAGCCGGTGACACAGCAGCCGAAGCAAGGCCTCCGGGGTCCGAATCCAGCGATTGCAAGAGAGAGGCGGAAGGGACGTCCCCGAAATAACCAGAACAGTTGACGAAGCCAAACTCAGCTCGGCGGGAAGGCCATCATCGCGGAGTTCAAGCTCCCACACAGACCCTCGAGCAACTGCCGGGTGACCCTAGAGCCCCCAAAAACTGGCGCATGCGGAACTGCAGCCACGGGAGAGACTCAGGAGGAAGAGACAAGGAAGCAGTCCGAGAGTCCCATACAAGACCCAGCCAGGTCCGAACCTGGGAGGGAACCAAATGGGACTTCTTCCAATTCACCAAGAACCCAAACCTGGCAAGCTAGGAAAGAACCAAATCCCTGGCTAACAGACAAGAGGACAGGCTGGGAGCCCAAACCAGCCAGTCGTCGAGGTAGGCCAACACCCGAACACCTAAGAGACGCAGATGGGCCACCACGACCCAGGTAAGGCGCATGAACACGTGAGGTGCCAGGTTCAACCCGAACGGGAGACAATGAAAACGGTAACCCTGACGCCCACAACAAAACCGAGCCAGTCCCAGAACCCTGGGTGAATCGGGAAGTGCCAATAAGCGTTCCAAAGGTCCAGGGACACCATCCAAGAGCCCAGCTCCAACAGGAACCGAACCTGGGACAGCGTAGTCATCCAAAAGGAGGGGCAATGAATCCAAGGGTCCAGATGGCACAAGTCCAAAATGCAGGTACGCACAGTCCCGTTTCGGGACTGGAAACAGACGGGAAACCCATCTGAGGGACGTCGTCGTTTCGACCACACCCAAGTGCATCCACTCCAAGATGACCTGACCGAGCGCAGGGGAAGAGGCTTGCCCCGCCAGCCCCGAACCCCCGGAAGGAGGAGGGGCCACCCGACACCACCGCAGGCCGAAGGAAATGACCCGAAATGCACACAAATCGTGGGATCAGGCGTGAGCGAACAGCACCAGCCTCCCCCACATTGCCCCGTAAATGGGGCAATGTGGAGGAGACCCAGACCCAGAACCTTGCATTGAGCGAACACCGCGCCAACCAGACGAAGGCGGGACTGAAGGCAGGGCCGGACCAGAACCTGGCACCAGTGGCCTACCACGACGAGCGAAACCCCGAGCCCTCCTCCGAGACCCACAGAGCCACCAGAACAGAACAAGTCAGACATAGGACGACAAGTAGCCGACGCAGCCTGTATATACTGCACCACAGCAGAGTCCTCAAAAAGAGGAGGACAAAAAAGAAGACATCCTAAGAGCCAGGGACCAGGACCTTCCTGGTGCAGATTCCAGGGAGGAGACAAGCACCGCCTGCCGACAAGCGAGGCGGGAAGTATAAAACAGGGAAACCGCTTCCCGCAAGATCGGTGCAAACAGCTTCAACTCCCCACATTCTGGAAGGGACGGTCCCCCTGGTCTCTGAGGGGGCCAGGTTCTGGCTAATGGTCCCCAGTAGGCCAAAGGATACCTGGTCAACCAGGCTGTGACTCATACGTCAGGCTGCGAGCAGCCGCTTCCAACAGCCTGGTTGATCAGTCCAGCAACCAGGAGGCCTGGTCGACGACTGGGCCGTGGGGACGCTAAGCCCCGGAAGCACCTCAAAGTAACCTCAAGGTAAGGCCCACAGAACTCCATACACATGACTGATGCCAAAGTCTGACATTAGCATATCAGCCTAGTAAGCCCCGGGGAGCCGACAGGGCTCCCCCCAGAAATGTACATTAAAAAACCAGCGTTGAATGTAATGAAACACCATTTTCTGGGTGAGCCCCGGAGGCTCCCTGGAGCTTATCGGGCTAATGTATGTTATGTTAGACCGGGACATTAGCTAAGGAGTTCAGACCTACCAGGGACCAGCGCCAGAACCTGGCCCCTTCAGAAAGGTTTCAGGGAGCAATGGCCCTGGAAAACCCCATATGGTTGGGGGTTTTCCTTATCTGCCATCGACCGGGGTTAGGCACCCAGAAAGGTAGGCGTAACAAAACAAACCCCACATGGTAAGAAACTACAACAAAAACCGAACAGAGAGGTAGAAAACTCCCTACAATCCCAAGGAAACAAGCAAACATCACACTTTACTGCCGCGCCGATCGTCCGCGCAGCCCTCCCCACCCCAGGAGGGGGAGGGGGGAGCCCCGGACCTACCGCGCCGGCTGCCAAGCTCCAGTTCGGAAGCTAAGCTTCAACCAACGCGAAAAAACCGCCGACCGGTGGGAGGGAGGGTTTCCAGGGAGCCTCCGGGGCTCACCCAGAAAATGGCGTTTCATTACATTCAACGCTGGTTTTCTGTGGGGAGCCCCTACGGCTCCCTGGAGCTTCATACCCAAAGAGAAGGAAAAGAAAGGGCTAACCCGGGAGGCGGCCGCCACAAACTCTGCAACGCAAAGCCAAGACAACCGGTCGCAAACCTGCGACCCAAGGCAACAAGAACGCCCAAGAACAGACGCACATATGGATGGGCGGCCAAAAACCTGTGCGACCCACAATTCCCTGCGCCCGAAACGTCACCAACACAGCAGCAATTGCTGCAAACGTCTGAACAGCACGGGCGCAAAGACAGACCGCAGGAAGAAGGAAAACACTGCGGACGACCCGGGAGACCCGAGCCCTGAAAACAGGGAACGAAGGAACCGGATCAACCACAGCGCATCCCCAGGCACGGTATGCCGGCAACAGCAAAAAGCACAACTGGACAACACAGGACGCACCCCCCGGCCAAACCAAACAAGTACCAATACCCCAAGAACCCCTCCGGAAAGCAGCCGTCTCGACCGTCGCCAGGACAGAGAAAGGCTGCACACCAATAAAGCTACCACCAGTACCAAAGAGGAGGAAACTGAAACCGAAGGGGCTACCACAAACTGAGGGGAAGAGAAGAAGGCACCCTGAACAAGGACCAGGATGGCTCAGGCGACTCATGAGCAGGCCGGAGGGGAAACAAAACGCGAGAAAACGTAATAAACGTCATACAGTCTCCAAGACGAAGCTCGCAGGTGGGACACCGTCAACAAAGCCACCTGAACACCATAGAGATGGCGATACCTGCGTCAAAATACCAGACGCGAAGAGCCAAAGAGAAGGCCGAACCAGTCACGGACAGGACCGATTCGGCTTGCTGAAAGAGGCGAAGCTTCAGGAAAAACGCCCCGGGTACGGACACCTATCAAGCAGCGTCTGAAAAGAAGGCCGGGCCGGCCACCGTGGAACCATAAGGACTGTTCTCGTGGGAATGGGCTGCAACCGAGCCAGAACCCGAAGCAACAGCTGAACCGGGAGAAGAGGTACAGGTACCCCCCACCTCGACCAGGCCTGCCGAAAGCCTCCACCGTGAAGTCCTCGCAGGTGGGAAGGGCGCCACAAAACGGGCGACGCCTAGACCACGCCGACCCGAAGACGTCCATGGCCAGGAGTCCATAAGCCCAACAGAGCCAACAAAACGA